AACAAAGCTAGTGGAGGTGATGGAATTCCAGTTGAGCTATTTCAAATCCTAAAAGATGATGCTGTGAAAGTGTTGCACTCAATATGCCAGCAACTTTGGAAAACTCAGCAGTGGCCACAGGACTGGAAAAGGTCAGTTTTCATTCTAATCCCAAAGAAAGGCAATGCCAAAAATGTTGAAACTATAGCACAAATGCACTCATCTCACATGCTCGCAAAGTAATGCTCAAAATTTTCCAAGCCAGGCTTCAACTGTATGTAAACTGACTTCCAGATGTTCAAGCTAGATTTAGAAAAGGCAGAGGAACCAGAGATCAAATTGCCAACATCCACTGAATCATTGACAGAGCAAGAGAGTTTCAGAAAAATGTCTATTTCTGCTGCATTGACTATGTCAAAGTCGTGACTGTGTGGATCACAACAATCTGTAGAAAATTCTTCAAAGAGATGGGAATACCAGACCACCTTACCTGCCTCCTGAGAAATCTGTATGCATGTCAAGAAGCAACAGTTAGATCCACACATGGAACAACAGACTGGTTCCAAATTTGGAAAGGAGTACATTAAAGCTGTATATTGTCACCCTGCTTATTTAATTTCTATGCAGAGTACATCATGCAAAATGTCAGGCTGGATGAGGCATAAGCTGGAATCAAGACTGCTGGGAGAAATACCAATAATCCACGCAGATGACACCACTTTTATGGCAACAGCAGAGGAACTAAAGAGTCTTTTGGTGAAAATGAAACAGGAGAGAGAAAAAGCTGGCTTAAAACTCAACATTCAAAAAACGAGGATCATGGCATGCGTTCCCATCACTTCATGGCAAATAGATGGGGAAACAATGGAAATAGTGACAGACTTTATTTCCTGGGCTCCAAAATCATTGTAGACTGTGACTGTAGCCATGAAATTAAAAGATGCTTGTTCCTTGGAGTAAAAGCTATGACCAACCTAGATAGCATATTACAAAGCAGAGACATTACTTTGCCAACAAAGGTCCATCTAGTCAAAGTTATGGTTTTTCGAGTAGTCAGTATGGATGTGAGAGTTGGACCATAAAGAAAGCTGAGTGCCAAAGAATCGGTGCTTTCAAACCGTGGCACTAGAGAAAACTCCTGATAGTACCTTGAACTGCAAGGAGATCAAACCAGTCAATCCTAAAGGAAATCAGTCCTGAATATTCATTGAAAGGACCCATGTTGAAGCTGAAATTCCAATACTTTGGCCACCTGATGTAAAGAAATGACTCACTAGAAAAGATCCTGATGCTGGGAAGGATTGAAGGCTGGAGGAGAAGGGAAAAACAGAGGATAAGATGGTTGGATGGCATCATCCACTCAATGGACATGAGTTTAAGTAAGCTCTGGGGGTTGATGATGGACAGGGAAGCCTGGCATGCTGTAGTCCATGGGGTTGCAAAGAGTCAGACAGGACTGGGCAACTGAACTGAATTGAACATTTTATGCTTTTTATTTTTCCACAATTCTTAAAAATTGAAATAAAATAAAGGCCACCATAATATATTCCTCTAGGAAACCAACACAGATGACATTTGTTGTTTTGGTGAATAAGTATAGCTCAAAGTGGAAAGATGTAGAATTAAAAGTACATATGCTTAAAACAGTCATACCTATGTTATTAGTACTATGCTTAAGCAACCTGTGTATTTAGATATGTAAAACAGATAGTCAATGGGAATTTGCTACATGGCTTAGGAAACTCAAACAGGGGCTCTGTGTCAACCTATAGGGATGGATTGGGGATGGAGGTGGGAAGAAAGTTTGAGAGAGAGGGGGCATATATATGGTTGATTCATGTTGAAGTGTGACAGAAAGTTACAAAATTCTGTGAAGCAATTATCCTTCAATTAAAAATAAATTAGTTAAAAAATAAATCTTTGGGTATTTCAGGTAATTTTATATTTGGGCCCAGTTTACCTTTGTAACTTCAATTTAAAATGTGAACAGAGCAACTGACTGAGATTTATGATTATAAAATAAAATCTTACTACATTTACAAAATAATTTGAAAGATATAAAAGCATTAAAATCAATATAGTTATTCATCTAACATGTTAGATTTATATGAGTTACTTAAGTATTTTGAAAAGATTGAAATCAGACTACGGGGTACCTAAAAAAGAAATAAATTTATAACTGCAGTTTAAGGCATCAAAAGTATTTAATTAACTAAAAAGGGCATTAACTACTTTTCAAAAGTTCTCAAATAAAATGTTAGATTTATAGAGGAAAACATCAGTTGAACACATTTTGACATAAATCACAGGACCTCTAGGACCCACCTCCTAGAGTAATGAAAATAAAAATAAACAAGTGGGACGCAATTAAAGTTAAAAGCTTTTGCACAGCAAAGGAAACTATACACAGGGTGAAAAGACAACCCTCAGAATAGGAGAAAATAATAGCAAATGAAACTGACAAGGATTAATCTATAAAACAAACAAGCAGCTCGTGCAGCTCAACACCAGAAAAACAAACAATCCAATCAAAAAGTGGGCAGAAGTCCTAAACAGATATTTCTCCAAAAAAGATTATAAAGACAACAGATGGCTAATAAACACAGGAAAATTTTATTATTAGAGAAATGCAAATCAAAACTACAATGAGGTATCACCCTGCACTGGTCAGAATGGCCATCATCAAAAAGTCTACAAACAATAAATGCTGGAGAGAGTGCAGAGAAAAGGGAACCCTCTTGCACTGTTGGCAGGAATGTAAACTGATACAGCCACTATGATGAACAGTATGGAGCTTCCTCAAAAACACTAGGAATAAAACTATGATATGAGCCAGCAATCCCACTACTGGGCATATAATCTTAGAAAACCATGACTGAAAAAGACACATGCATCCCATATAATTGAGAGACAGTGCTGACTTATCACAGGTCCTCAGGAGGTACCTTCGGTCTCTTCCCCAACCCCTCCCTTAAGCAGACACACACAAACACACACACACACACACACACACACACACACACACACACAGCCTGACCATAATACCTGTAATCACTGGCCATTCCCCAACACTTAACAATTTTAGTCCTCTGAGTATTTTGCCCATTTGTACATTTTTAAACTACCACCTAGGTCCTTTCAATTCTAGATTTGCCAGCTCTAACCTGTAAACTTTGAGCATATTACACCTCTTGTTGCTTTTTCTTTCACTACTTGTAATCTGTTATCCTCTCATTCTAGGTAAAATTCAGGAAATGAAAAAGAAAAGAGTTCATCATTGTCCCCTTTAAGTTCTTGTTCCCAGAAACATTTACTGAAATTCACTGGCCACATACACATACACATGTGTACAAACATTCAATAGCTAGGATTGGGAAGCAACCCAGATCCATCGACAGATGGATAAAGAAGCTGTGGTATATATATAAAATAGAATATTACTTAACCAAAACAAGGAACACATTTGAGTCAATTTAAATGAAGTGGATGAACCTAAGAGATTGTTATATAGAGTGAAGTCAGAAAAACAAATATCATATATTAACGCATATATATGGAATCTAGAAAACTGGAATTGATTAACCTATTCGCAGGGCCACAATAGAAAACAGACTTTGTGGACACAGCGAGGCAATGAGAAGGTGAGACAAATTGAGACTCTAGCATTGACACATATATATTACTCTATGTCAAATTTATAGCCAGTGGGAATTTGCCATATGATACAAGGAGCTCAAACCTGGTGCTCTGTGACAACCTAGAAGGATGGGACGGGGTGGGAGGTGGGAGGGGGATTCAAGAGGGAGGGGACCTATGGCTGATTCATGTTGATGTATGGCAGAAATCAAGACAAGATTGTAAAACAATTATCCTCCAATTAAAAATAAGTAATTTTTAAAAATGTGGCTAATATGGTAAGTGAATGTTTAACTTTACAAGAAATTGCCAAACTATATTTCAGAGTGGCTACACTATTTTACAATCCTCCACAATATATAAGAGATTCATGCAGCT